GGCCTAGGCTTTAGGCTTTAGGGTTTGGGGTTTAGGGTTTAGGGTTTGGGGTTTAGGGTTTTGGTTTGGGGTTTAGGGTTTAGGGTTTGGGATTGAGGGTTTAGGGTTTTGAGGGAGGGGCAGTTTTTGGGACTTGGGGTAGAGGCCTAAACCCTAAACCCTACAACCAGTTTAGGGATTAGGGTTTAAAAACATTGTGAAAAGGGGTTTGGTGTCAAAACCGAGGGTTTAGGGTTTAGGGTTTAGGGTTTAGGGTTTAGGGTTTAGGGTCCAGCCCTGGCGTTGCAGAATGGATCAAAATGTGTCCAACGAAAAACCACTTTTTTATTATCATCTATTTATTTATTTATTTATTTATTTATTTATTTATTTATTTATTTATTTATTTGTTTATTTATTTGTTTATTTATTTATTTATTTTCAGGAAATATTAGAAGAAAGCGAACCCCCAGTGATGGTTTTTGTAAACCAAAAAAAATCTGCTGATGCTCTCGCGAAGGCCCTTTCCAAGTTGGGCTTCAGGTGTACATACACCGCAGCGCTGCATGCGTTTTCTTTTATTTTTATTTTATTTTTACTTTTATTTTTATTTTTATTTTTATTTTAAAAACTTTGAAAGAGAACTGTTTCTTTTGTCTTTTTGGCTTTTTTGTTGCTTCTTGTTTCGTTTTTATCTCTTTTTTGTTTTTCATTTGTTTGTTTCTTTTTCTTTCTTTTTTATTTCTTTTAGTTTTATTTTTATTATTTGTTTCATTTTTGTTTCTTTTTTATTTTGTTTTTATTTCTTTTTTGTTTCTTTTTGTCTCCTGTCTCCTTTTAATTTATTTTATTTAAATTCAATTATCTGTTTCTATTTAATTGTCTCTTTTAAATTTAATTACTTCATTTCAACTTCATTTTATATAGTTGTCTTTTATTTAAACCATTTGTCTTTTGGTCTTTTTTTCTTTTATAATTCCCTTTCTCTTTTTGTCATTATTTATCTTTTTAATTTTTTTTTTGAAGTTATTTTCTTTTTAACTTATTCTTTCTTTTTTGTTTATATATTTCTTTTTGATTTTTTATTTATTTATTTATAGTTTATTATTTATTATTTATCATTATTGTCTGGTTATTTATTCATTTACATTTTCTTTATTCATTTATTTACTTACATAATGAGTTATTTATGTGCGTATTTATGTATTCGTTTGTTTGTTTATTTGATAAGTTATTTATTATTTATTTGTTTATTTACGTGTATAATAAGTTATTTGCTATTAATTAACGTATTTATTATTTGTTTATTTATTTATTTATTTATTTTTATTTATTTTATTTTTGTGTGAAGTACAATTGCTCTTCACGGAGGAAAGGCCCAGGAGAATCGCGAGGCGGCGTTGACCCAATTCAAGGTTTGATTTAATTAAATTAAATTTGATTTAATTTAATTTAATTGATTTAATTAATTTAATTTAATTAATTTAATTAATTTATTTTATTTTATTTTATTTTATTTTACTTTGTTTGATTAGTTTGATTTAATTCTATTTTATTTAGGATAATTTGGTTAATTTTATCTTAATATTTTATGTAATTAATTTTATTTAATTTGAGTAGTTTACTTTAGTTAGCATAGTTTGATTTAATTAATGTAATTTAATTTAATTAATTTCATTTTATTTGATTATTTATTTCATTTTATTTAAATTGGTTTAGTTTGGTTTAGTTTATTCTCGTTAGGCTTGATCTGATATATTTTCGTTTTGTCATTCAATTAAGTTGATTTATTTTAATAAGCTTTAATTTAATTTAATTTAATTTAATTTAATATAACTTAATTGATTTAGTTAATTAATTAGGTTTAATATACTTCAACACAGTTAACTTTAATTGATTTTATTTGTCGTTTATTTGTTTAAATCTTTTAATTATTTATTTGAATTTAAAGATGCATTTTTGAATTTGTGCGTGCAGCCACATAAAACAAATTAATTTAATTTCAATTTTAATTTTATTTTTATTATTTGAGTATTAAAGTTTTATTGTCTTTAATGTATTTTTATTTTATGTTTTTATTTGTTCAAAAGTACTTTTCCAAATTCATTTATTTTTATTTCATTTATAATTACTTTTAAATGTAATTCTTCAAACTTCAATTATTTGCAAATTCATTTAATCGGCAGCTCTTCTCGCCATTTAAAAGAATTTAAACCCGAAAAAGAATTCTATTTATTACTAATTAATTATTATTTATTTATTTATTATTAATTTATTAATTAATTAATTAATTATTTATTTATTTATTTATTTATTTATTTATTTATTTATTTGTTTATTTATTTATTTATTTTTTTAGGAAGGTTCTTACGACGTGTTGGTGGCTACGGACGTGGCCGGCCGCGGCATTGACGTGCAGGGGGTGACTCTGGTGGTGAATTTCGACATGCCGAAGGAAATTGAGCAGTACTTACACCGCATTGGTGCGCAATTGCAGATTAAAATTCATTTTAATTTAATTAAATCTTTTTTTATTCTTTTTTATTTCAAAAACGATAAAAATTCCGCTTCAAACGAACCAAAACGGTCCAAAATCGAAAGTTCAACAAGTCAAGAAAGCTGCGGTGTATCGACACCCCGTGCCGGAATTTGTTGCATTTTTGGTTATTTTAAATGCATTTAAAAGCACAAAAGAGAATTTAAATCCCAAAAAATTGCATTTATTATTTCATTTATTTTAAATATATTTAAAAGGATTTAAAACAGTATTTAAATCCATTTCAAAAGTGAAGAAATAGACAAGTTCGGAAGTAAGCCCGCGAAGCTGAGCTGTATGTACACTGAAGAAGTCTGAAACTGGAGTTTCGAAGTTTAATTCGCAAAAATAATCAAAAGATAATTTTAACTGTTTGCTGCTGCTGCTGCAGTTCCTGCTGCTGCTGCAGCAGCTTGCTGCTGCTGTTAGGTTTCTGCCGATGAGCAGCAATTAGCTGCTGCTGCTGCAGTGTGCGTGGTTGCTGCAGCAGCTTGCTGCTGCAGCTGCTGCTGCCTGCTGCGCTGCAGCAGCAGCAGTTTGGCGTCTTTTTCGCTGCAACTTGTTGCTGCCTGTGCACCCGCTGCTGCTGCTGCTGCTGCTGCTGCTGCTGCTGCTGCTGCTGCTGCTGCAGGGCGCACGGGGCGCGCGGGAAAGAAGGGAGTTTCGATTTCTTTTTTGACAGAAGAAGACTCCGGACTTTTTTTCGATTTGGTCAAAACTATGAAAAGTGCAAACTGCCAAGTGCCCCTCGAGCTGCTGAGCCATCCGGCCAGCAAAGTGAAGGGCGGCAACAAAGACTCAGTGCCGCAGAAGCCCATGCACTTTTACTAATTAATTAATTAATTATTAATTAATTAATTAATTAATTAATTAATTAATTAATTAATTAATTGATTAATTAAATTGGTTAATTAATTAGTTAATTGGTTTATTTTGTTTGTTGGGCGGTGGTTTTGTTGGACTGGAGGGGGTGCATTTTGTTTGTTTGTCGAATTCAACTTTTAATTCGACAAATAGACAAATAAATAAATAAATAAATAAATAAATATAAATAAATATAAATAAGTATAAATGAATAATTATAAATAAATAAATAAATGAAAAGATATCCAATGTCGAATTTGCAGCGGCTATTTGGTGGCATTGAGGAGATCGTTTATTTATATTTTATTTCTTTTATTTCTTTTATTTCTTTTTCTTCACTTATTTCCTTCTCTGATTAGTTTTTCTTAATTTTATTTCTCATTTACTTTTCTACATTTCTTTATTTCTTTTAATATCTTTTCTCATTTATTTCTTTTCTTCATTTCTTTCCTTTATTTCTCCAGAGGCATTTTAAACTTCTTTATTTGCAAAAAATATTTTCTCCATTAGAGACCCAATCCAACTTTGTCTTTTTCATTTCTTTTAAAAAGAAAACAAATTCATTTTCCTTTTATTCTTTTTAAACAAAAGGTTCAGCTCTTTAGAAATAAATTGATTAAAAAATATGCATGCAAAAGAAAAAATAGAGGAATAAAAATAAACAAATAAATGAATAAAAAGCAAACAAATAAATTAATAAAAAAAAAAAAAGAAAATATCAGAAAGGCGCCACTTTCTTTTTATTACTCTTGATAGCTTTAGAGGCGCTTCTTCTTCAGTATTATTAAGTAGTTATTATTAAGTAGTTATTTATTTATTTATTTATTTATTTATTTATTTATTTATTTGTTTATTTGTTTATTTTGGAAATGTATTATTATTCTTATTACTAGTTGTTTATTTAGCTATTTATTAGTTCTTAATACTCCCAGAAGACGCCGCAGCCTTGGGGCCTCATCTTGCATGCAAATAAATGCAAATGGATTAGAAATGAATAAAAATATAAACATAAAAAAGAATATAATTATTATTTTGAACAAAAATGCAAAAATGGAAAAGGAACGAAAAGAAGGCAGCGCGGCCGCCAGGTGTACGTACATCTCGTGCATGCGGCTTGCGGAAATGGAATTTCTTCAGTTTTGCAAATTTTCCAAAACTCTGAAAAGCATTTAAACCTTTTTAGAGGTCTTCAGACCCTATATCTGCTTCTGAAGGGGCTCTACAGTTCTTTAATTACATTTAATTAATTTATTTTTTGCTTATTTCTTCAAAAACCAAAAAAAAGCGTTAAATTCTCATTTTTTGGGAATTGCGCAGAACATTTGTATGTGTTAATTTCACCTGTTTAGTATTTATATATCTATACACGCATGCATATGTATATTTGCATTTATTATATACATATGTATATGTACATATATATACATATATATATTATATATATTTATATGTATACATGTATATATGTATATATATGCATATATATATATATATATATATATATATATATATATATATATATATATATATATATATA